CTTTTTCTCTCCACATTGAGGATTAACGTCACCGCGCGTTTTGAGCGATTTGCTGCTGCTGTCAATTTCAAACGCGATAAGCCACTTGCTGACATGTCATTTGTTGATGGCCAGGTCGCTACTGATAAAGAGCTACATAGCTTATAGTTTATAGTTTAAATATCTTGATTTGAAGCTTTCGTGACTGCAGGAATCCACGCTCTGTGGTTCTTTCTGTAAAGTCATCACGTGGTGGGTAGAACTAAAATTAATCAAATCCCGACGTTTCGATGGCAAACACAAGCCGCTTGTGTCGCCATCGAAACGTCGGGATTTGATTTATTTTATTTTATTTCTACCTACCACGTGATGACTTTACAGAAACAACCAAAGATTATGTTTAAATAGCTTGTCATGAACCGCACGTGATCGCGGTACGAATGTGAGTTGGCCTCCTCTTCCACGCGTGGCGACTGTAAACCCCACGTGCTCCGTGTGGCTCTTCCCTCTCCCAAGGTGTTGAGAAAACCGGACGTGGATGAGGTTCCCGAGGATTCTGGGAGGTTCCTAACGGGGCGGAAATACGACAAGGTAGCCAGCCGCCAACGCTGACAGCCTGGGTTCGAGCCCTGGGTCTGGGTGTCTCTCTCAAGGGGTTCACAATGGCCATGTCGGAGACACTGACAGTCTGGGTTCAAGCCCTGGGTCTGGGTGTCTCTCTCAAGGGGTTCACAATGGCCATGTCGGAGACACTGAGAGCCTGGGTTCAAGCCCTGGGTCTGGGTGTCTCTCTCTTTCTCAGGGGGCTCACGATGGCTGTGTCAGAGACACTGAGAGCCTGGGTTCAAGCCCTGGGTCTGGGTGTCTCTCTCTCTCTCAGGGGGTTCACAATGGCCATGTCAGAGACACTGAGAGCCTGGGTTCAAGCCCTGGGTCTGGGTGTCTCTCTCTCTCGCTGCTCACGATGGCCGTGTCAGACACACTGAGAGCCTGGGTTAGAGCCCTGGGTCTGGGTGTCTCTCTCCCAGGGGGTTCACGATGGCCGTGTCAGAGACACTGAGAGTCTAGGTTCAAGCCCTGGGTCTGGGTGTCTCTGTCTCTCAGGGGGTTCACGATGGCCGTGTCAGAGACACTGAGAGTCTGGGTTCAAGCCCTGGGTCTGGGTGTCTCTCTCTCTCTCAGGGGGTTCACGATGGCCATGTCAGAGACACTGAGAGCCTGGGTTCTGCCAGGAGGTGCTACAGCACATGAGCGGACTAATCTGTGCATGCATGTGTGTGGGCGTGTGTGTACGTGGAAGCTACCTGGTCTGTCGCTCCGCACTAAGCTTCAGGTCTTCTCGGCCACGGTCATTCCCTCCCTTCTCTACGCTTGCGAAACGTGGACCCCCCTAATGGAACATCTTCGCCGGTTAGAAACATTTAGGCTGGCCTGCCTACGATCCATCCTGGGTTTAACCAGACTGGATTGTGTGAGGAGCTCACAAATCCTTGAAAGATCTGGGCAGGGTCCCATCGGTGAGCTCCTCCGGCAGGCAAGGCTGCGATGGCTGGGTCATGTAGCCCGCATGCCCAGCCACCGCATGCCGAAACAGCTTTTGTTCGGCCGGATTGAGGGGGCTAAGCGGGCGCGGCACGGGCTAGAGAAGAGATGGAGTGATGTGGTACAGGAGGACGTGGAGCTGAGTGGACTTGCCGATGACTGGTACCAGCGGTGTCAAGATCGGCCTCTGTGGAGGAGGCTCGTGAAGGACGCTACTGGGCAGTTGGAGGTAGTTGCCCGCCAACAACAACGGAGGGCGGAGGAGCGACGCTCAGAACAACGAGCGGAGCGCCGGGTGGCTAAAGCACAGCAGGTTGGCACAGTAGGGGGGCACAGGTGGTGCATCAGCCAGTCATCTCAGTCAGTCGACCCGTGGCACCTGGGTCTGCCCCGTGACCTCCTGCCAGCGGGCGTTCGACACTTCACGTGGCCTCAGGGTGCACATAGCCTGGCACAAGCGTCGTGGTGACGTCACCGCCACTTAGTGGTGAATGGCGGTTGTTGTTGTGTACGTGTGTGTGTGCGTGCGTGTGTGTGCGTGCGTGTGCGTGCGTGGGGAGCGGTGGTGCAGCGGTTAGCGCTGTGCTACAAACCCAGTGACCCAGGTTTGATTCCCGCTCACGGCCAAGACCGGTGACGATTATCTGAACCGGTCCTGGGCCTCCCCTAGGTCGACTCGGCCTCAAATGAGTACCTGGTGCGGTGTGTAGTAAACATTGCCACTAAGGAGACAAAGGCGGCCGGGCGTGGTGCTGGCCACCCACCCCCTCGTGTGCCGTGCCGGCCTTCATAGGCGCCGCTCGCTAGCAGCACTTGCCCCTACAGTCTGTTAGAGGCTACACGGGGGATTTTTGTCTTTATTTTTTGCGCGTGCGTTCGTGCGTGTAGAGCGAGTGCTGCACAGAGCAGAAGTTCTCACACAGAAGCTGGCACTGTGGCCTCAGGACACACGGAAAAGCGCGAACACAAAGGTACACCTCCATGTCTAGACACCGGGTCTCAGGGTCAGTGTCTAGACACTGGGTCTCAGGGTCAGTGTCTAGACACCGGGTCTCAGGGTCAGTGTCTAGACACCGGGTCTCAGTGTCTAGACACCGGGTCTCAGGGTCAGTGTCTAGACACCGGGTCTCAGGGTCAGTGTCTAGACACCGGGTCTCAGGGTCAGTGACTAGGGACCAGGTCTCAGGGTCAGTGTCTAGACACCGGGTCTCAGGGTCAGTGACTAGACACCAGGTCTCAGGGTCAGTGTCTAGACACCGGGTGTCAGTGTCTAGACATAAGGTCTCAGGGTCAGTGTCTAGACACCGGGTCTCAGGGTCAGTGTCTAGACACCGGGTCTCAGTGTCAGTGTCTAGACACCGGGTCTCAGGGTCAGTGTCTAGACACCGGGTCTCAGGATCAGTGTCTAGACACCGGGTCTCAGGGTCAGTGTCTAGACACCGGGTCTCAGGATCAGTGTCTAGACACCGGGTCTCAGGGTCAGTGTCTAGACACCGGGTCTCAGGGTCAGTGTCTAGACACCGGGTCTCAGGGTCAGTGACTAGGGACCAGGTCTCAGGGTCAGTGACTAGGGACCAGGTCTCAGGGTCAGTGTCTAGACACCGGGTCTCAGGGTTAGTGTCTAGACACCGGGTCTCAGGGTCAGTGTCTAGACACCGGGTCTCAGGGTCAGTGTCTAGACACCGGGTCTCAGGGTCAGTGTCTAGACACCGGGTCTCAGGGTCAGTGTCTAGACACCGGGTCTCAGGGTCAGTGTCTAGACACCGGGTCTCAGTGTCAGTGACTAGGGACCAGGTCTCAGGGTCAGTGTCTAGACACCGGGTCTCAGGGTCAGTGTCTAGACACCAGATCTCAGGGTCAGTGTCTAGACACCGGGTCTCAGGGTCAGTGTCTAGACACCGGGTCTCAGGGTCAGTGACTAGGGACCAGGTCTCAGGGTCAGTGACTAGACACCGGGTCTCAGTGTCAGTGTCTAGACACCGGGTCTCAGGGTCAGTGTCTAGACACCAGGTCTCAGGGTCAGTGTCTAGACACCGGGTGTCAGTGTCTAGACACCGGGTCTCAGGGTCAGTGTCTAGACACCGGGTCTCAGGGTCAGTGTCCAGACACCGGGTCTCAGGGTCAGTGTCTAGACACCGGGTCTCAGGGTCAGTGTCTAGACACCGGGTCTCAGGGTCAGTGTCTAGACACCGGGTCTCAGGATCAGTGTCTAGACACCAGGTCTCAGGGTCAGTGTCTAGACACCGGGTCTCAGGGTCAGTGTCTAGACACCGGGTGTCAGTGTCTAGACACCGGGTCTCAGGGTCAGTGTCTAGACACCGGGTCTCAGGGTCAGTGTCCAGACACCGGGTCTCAGGGTCAGTGTCTAGACACCGGGTCTCAGGGTCAGTGTCTAGACACCGGGTCTCAGTGTCAGTGTCTAGACACCAGGTCTCAGGGTCAGTGTCTAGACACCGGGTCTCAGGGTCAGTGTCTAGACACCGGGTCTCAGGGTCAGTGTCTAGACACCGGGTCTCAGTGTCTAGACACCGGGTCGCAGGGTCAGTGTCTAGACACCGGGTCTCAGGATCAGTGTCTAGACACCGGGTCTCAGGGTCAGTGTCTAGACACCGGGTCTCAGTGTCTAGACACCGGGTCTCAGGGTCAGTGTCTAGACACCGGGTCTCAGGGTCAGTGTCTAGACACCGGGTCTCAGGGTCAGTGTCTAGACACTGGGTCTCAGGGTCAGTGTCTAGACACCAGATCTCAGGGTCAGTGACTAGACACCGGGTCTCAGGGTCAGTGTCTAGACACCGGGTCTCAGGGTCAGTGTCTAGACACCGGGTCTCAGGGTCAGTGTCTAGACACCGGGTCTCAGTGTCAGTGTCTAGACACCGGGTCTCAGGGTCAGTGTCTAGACACCGGGTCTCAGGGTCAGTGACTAGACACCGGGTCTCAGGGTCAGTGTCTAGACACCGGGTCTCAGGGTCAGTGTCTAGACACCGGGTCTCAGGGTCAGTGTCTAGACACCGGGTCTCAGGGTCAGTGTCTAGACACCGGGTCTCAGGGTCAGTGTCTAGACACCAGATCTCAGGGTCAGTGACTAGACACCGGGTCTCAGTGTCAGTGTCTAGACACCGGGTCTCAGTGTCAGTGTCTAGACACCGGGTCTCAGGGTCAGTGTCTAGACACCGGGTCTCAGGGTCAGTGACTAGACACCGGGTCTCAGGGTCAGTGTCTAGACACCGGGTGTCAGTGTCTAGACACCGGGTCTCAGAGTCAGTGTCTAGACACCGGGTCTCAGGGTCAGTGTCTAGACACCGGGTCTCAGGGTCAGTGTCTAGACACCGGGTCTCAGGGTCAGTGTCTAGACACCGGGTCTCAGTGTCAGTGACTAGGGACCAGGTCTCAGGGTCAGTGTCTAGACACCGGGTCTCAGGGTCAGTGTCTAGACACCGGGTCTCAGGGTCAGTGTCTAGACACCGGGTCTCAGGGTCAGTGTCTAGACACCGGGTCTCAGGGTCAGTGTCTAGACACCAGGTCTCAGTGTCAGTGTCTAGACACCGGGTCTCAGGGTCAGTGTCTAGACACCGGGTCTCAGGGTCAGTGTCTAGACACCGGGTCTCAGGGTCAGTGTCTAGACACCGGGTCTCAGGGTCAGTGTCTAGACACCAGATCTCAGGGTCAGTGACTAGACACCGGGTGTCAGTGTCTAGACACCGGGTCTCAGGGTCAGTGTCTAGACACTGGGTCTTAGTGTCAGTGTCTAGACACCGGGTCTCAGGGTCAGTGTCTAGACACCGGGTCTCAGGGTCAGTGTCTAGACACCGGGTCTCAGGGTCAGTGTCTAGACACCGGGTCTCAGGGTCAGTGTCTAGACACCAGATCTCAGGGTCAGTGACTAGACACCGGGTGTCAGTGTCTAGACACCGGGTCTCAGGGTCAGTGTCTCCACTCCCGGTTGTCCGTTCAGCCGTGCCTGGGACTCCCGGCGTGATGACCGCTCCGCTGTGGAGGCCGTGCCGGACGCCGGTGAAGAAGCGCCGGGAGCCGGCACAGCCCCAGGCGCGTGGGCACGCAGCTCCAACTTCGGCGGCAAGCAGTGGAATGAGGCCTCACAGCCCTGCCGTGGCGCGTTCCAGGTAGCACGCCTGATTAGAACGCGGGTACTCTGTGGGTACTCTGTGGGTACTCTGTGGGTACTCTGTGATGTGTCTCTGTGAGTGTCTCTGTGATGTCTCTGTGATGTGTCTCTGTGATGTGTCTCTGTGATGTGTCTCTGTGTGTGTCTCTGTGATGTGTCTCTGTAAGTGTCTCTGTGTGTGTCTCTGTGTGGGTACTCTGTGAGTGTCTCTGTGTGTGTCTCTGTGTGTGTGTCTCTGTGAGTGTCTGCGTGTGTGTCTCTGTGTGTGTTTCTGTGTGTGTGTCTCTGTGAGTGTCTCTGTGTGTGTCTGTGTGTGTGTCTCTGTGAGTGTCTCTGTGTGTGTCTCTGTGTGTGTCTGTGTGTGTGTCTCTGTGTGTGTGTCTCTGTGATGTCTCTGTGATGTCTCTGTGAGTGTCTCTGTGTGTGTCTCTGTGAGTGTCTCTGTGAGTGTCTCTGTGTGTCTCTGTGATGTCTCTGTGTGTGTGTCTGTGAGTGTCTCTGTGAGTGTCTCTGTGTGTGTCTCTGTGTGTGTTTCTGTGATGTCTCTGTGAGTGTCTCTCTGTGATGTCTCTGTGTGTGTCTCTGTGAGTGTCTCACTGTGATGTCTCTGTGAGTGTCTCTGTGTGTGTCTCTGTGTGTGTCTCTCTGTGTGTCTCTGTGATGTCTCTGTGTGATGTCTCTGTGATGTGTCTCTGTGTGTGTCTCTGTGATGTGTCTCTGTAAGTGTCTCTGTGTGTGTCTCTGTGTGGGTACTCTGTGAGTGTCTCTGTGAGTGTCTCTGTGTGTCTGTCTCTGTGAGTGTCTGTGTGTGTGTCTCTGTGAGTGTCTCTGTGAGTGTTTCTGTGTGTGTCTCTGTGTGGGTACTCTGTGAGTGTCTCTGTGAGTGTCTCTGTGATGTGTCTCTGTGAGTGTTTCTGTGTGTGTGTCTCTGTGTGTGTCTCTGTGTGGGTACTCTGTGGGTACTCTGTGGCTACTCTGTGTGTCTCTGTGATGTGTCTCTGTGAGTGTCTCTGTGAGTGTTTCTGTGTGTGTCTCTGTGTGGGTACTCTGTGTGGGTACTCTGTGAGTGTCTCTGTGAGTGTCTCTGTGTGTGTCTCTGTGATGTGTCTCTGTGTGTGTCTCTGTGATGTGTGTCACTGTGTGTGTCACTGTGTGTGTCACTGTGTGTGTGTGTCACTGTGTGTGTCTCTGTGTGTGTCTCTGTGTGTGTGTCTCTGTGAGTGTCTGCGTGTGTGTCTCTGTGTGTGTTTCTGTGTGTGTGTCTCTGTGAGTGTGTCTGTGTGTGTCTGTGTGTGTGTCTCTGTGAGTGTCTTTGTGTGTGTCTCTGTGTGTGTCTGTGTGTGTGTCTCTGTGTGTGTGTCTCTGTGATGTCTCTGTGATGTCTCTGTGAGTGTCTCTGTGTGTGTCTCTGTGAGTGTCTCTGTGAGTGTCTCTGTGTGTCTCTGTGATGTCTCTGTGTGTGTGTCTGTGAGTGTCTCTGTGAGTGTCTCTGTGTGTGTCTCTGTGTGTGTTTCTGTGATGTCTCTGTGAGTGTCTCTGTGAGTGTCTCTGTGTGTGTCTCTGTGATGTCTCTGTGTGTGTCTCTGTGTGTGTCTCTGTGTGTGTCTCTGTGAGTGTCTCTGTGAGTGTCTCTGTGTGTGTCTCTGTGTGTGTTTCTGTGATGTCTCTGTGAGTATCTCTCTGTGATGTCTCTGTGTGTGTCTCTGTGAGTGTCTCACTGTGATGTCTCTGTGAGTGTCTCTGTGTGTGTCTCTGTGTGTGTCTCTCTGTGTGTCTCTGTGATGTCTCTGTGTGATGTCTCTGTGTGTGTCTCTGTGTGTGTCTCTGTGTGTGTATCTGTGTGATGTCTCTGTGAGTGTCTCTGTGAGTGTCTCTGTGATGTCTCTATAATGTCTCTGTGAGTGTCTCTGTGAGTGTCTCTGTGTGTGTTTCTGTGTGTGTATCTGTGTGATGTCTCTGTGAGTGTCTCTGTGAGTGTCTCTGTGATGTCTCTGTAATGTCTCTGTGAGTGTCTCTGTGAGTGTCTCTGTGTGTGTCTCTGTGTGTGTCTCTGTGTGATGTCTCTGTGAGTGTCTCTGTGATGTCTCTGTAATGTCTCTGTGAGTGTCTCTGTGAGTGTCTCTGTGTGTGTCTCTGTGTGTGTTTCTGTGTGTGTCTCTGTGAGTGTCTCTGTGAGTGTCTCTGTGATGTCTCTGTGAGTGTCTCTGTGAGTGTCTCTGTGTGAGTGTCTCTGTGTGAGTGTCTCTGTGTGAGTGTCTCTGTGTGTGTCTCTGTGTGTGTGTCTCTGTGTGAGTGTCTCTGTGTGATGTCTCTGTGTGTGTTTCTGTGTGTGTGTCTCTGTGTGATGTCTCTGTGTGTGTCTCTGTGTGTGTGTCTCTGTGTGAGTGTCTCTGTGTGTGTGTCTCTGTGTGATGTCTCTGTGTGTGTCTCTGTGTGTGTGTCTCTGTGTGTGTCTCTGTGTGTGTCTCTGTGTGATGTCTCTGTGAGTGTCTCTGTGATGTCTCTGTAATGTCTCTGTGAGTGTCTCTGTGAGTGTCTCTGTGTGTGTCTCTGTGTGTGTTTCTGTGTGTGTCTCTGTGAGTGTCTCTGTGAGTGTCTCTGTGATGTCTCTGTAATGTCTCTGTGAGTGTCTCTGTGAGTGTCTCTGTGTGTCTCTCTGTGTGTGTTTCTGTGTGTGTCTCTGTGAGTGTCTCTGTGAGTGTCTCTGTGATGTCTCTGTGTGAGTGTCTCTGTGTGTGTCTCTGTGAGTGTCTCTGTGAGTGTCTCTGTGAGTGTCTCTGTGTGAGTGTCTCTATGTGAGTGTCTCTGTGTGTGTGTCTCTGTGTGTGTCTCTGTGTGTGTGTCTCTGTGTGAGTGTCTCTGTGTGATGTCTCTGTGTGTGTTTCTGTGTGTGTGTCTCCGTGTGATGTCTCTGTGTGTGTCTCTGTGTGTGTGTCTCTGTGTGAGTGTCTCTGTGTGTGTGTCTCTGTGTGTGTCTCTCTGTGTGTGTCTCTGTGTGTGTCTCTGTGAGTGTCTCTGTGTGTGTCTCTGTGAGTGTCTCTGTGTGTGTGTTTCTGTGATGTCTCTGTGTGTGTGTCTTTGTGAGTGTCTCTGTGATGTCTCTGTGAGTGTCTCTCTGTGTGTGTCTCTGTGTGATGTCTCTGTGTGTGTCTCTGTGTGTGTTTCTGTGTGTGTGTCTCTGTGTGTGTCTCTGTGAGTGTCTCTGTGTGTGTGTCTCTGTGATGTCTCTCCTGCGACCCTTCGTAGGCAGTGGTGGGGGTCGACGCTCGAGCGGCCAGGGGTCTTGGATTTTGGGGTGCGAGGAAATCGGCTGTGCCGGCTGTGTCGGCTGTGCCTGTGCCGGCTGTATCGGCTGTGCCGGCTGTGCCGGCTGTGCCGGCTGTGCCGGCTGTATCGGCTGTGCCGGCTGTGCCGGCTGTGGCGGCTGTGTCGGCTGTGTCGGCTGTGCCGGCTGTGCCGGCTGTATCGGCTGTGCCGGCTGTGTCGGCTGTATCGGCTGTATCGGCTGTGCCGGCTGTGCCGGCTGTGCCGGCGGTGGCGACGGCTGTGCCGGATGAGGGGAGGAGGCTGGAGTCCCCCGGCAGCAGGCAGCGGCCTCACCACAAGGTGCCGGTGGTGTGGGGTCGCGACCCCTAGCCCCGACCTTCCACCCCCGACCCCCACCCCTGACTACCCCAAGCCCCCACCCCATCCCCCACCCTCACCCTTGATCGCCCCCACCGTTGACCCCTGACCCCCCACCAAGCCCCCCCCCCCCCCCCCCCGTGTGCGTGCCATAGTGGGGGCGCTGCCGCTCACACCAACAGCACTTGCCCCCACAGGCTGTTAAGGCTGCACGGGGGATCTTTGTCTTTCTGTGTGTGTGTGATGTGTGTGTGTGATGTCTGTGTGTGTTGTGTGTGTGGTGTGTGTGTGGTGTGTGTGTGATGTGTGTGTGGTGTGTGGTGTGTGTGGTGTGTGTGTGGTGTGTGTGGTGTGTGGTGTGTGTGGTGTGTGTGTGTTTTGTGTGGTGTGTGTGTGGTGTGTGTGGTGTGTGTGGTGTGTGTGGAGTGTGTGTGTGGTGTGTGTGTGTGTGGTGTGTGTGTGTGTGGTGTGTTATTTAGGAGCGTGCATCCGTTCGTCTGTCCCACGCTCAGCCCTGCCCCTGGCCTTGTCCCGAGCAGGAGGGACCCCGGCTTCCGAGGGGCAAGGCCGGCCGGCTGGGGGCATTCCCTCCGTGTCGACCTCCGGCCGCAACAACGACAACAACAACGACAACAACAACAACAACCACCACATCCACCGCTACAGCAGCGCTGCCACAGCCACAGCTTGCCCCGGACATGCCCTGAGCTTCGCCTGCCCCCTTCGACCTGAGGGGATCACGCGGAATGCCCTTCGTGTGTGTGTGTGTCTGTGTGTGTGTCTGTGTGTATGTATATCTGTGCGTAATGCCCTTCGTGTGTGTGTGTGTCTGTGTGTGTGTCTGTGTGTATGTATATCTGTGTGTAATGCCCTTCGTGTGTGTGTGTGTCTGTGTGTGTGTGTGTGTCTGTGTGTATGTATATCTGTGCGTAATGCCCTTCGTGTGTGTGTGTGTCTGTGCATAATGCCCTTCGTGTGTGTGTCTGTGTGTGTGTGTGAGGAGCGATAGTGTAGCGGTTAGCGCTACGCTGCGCTATGAACCTGGTGATCCAGGTTTGATTCCCGCTCACGGCCAACATCAGTGACGATTATCTGAACCGGTCCCGGGCCTCCCCTAGGTCGACTCAGCCTCAAATGAGTACCTGGTGCGGTGTGTAAACATTGCCACTAGGGAGACAAAGGCGGTCGGGCGTGGTGCTGGCCACCCACCCCCTCGTGTACCGTTCCGGCCTTCATAGGTGCTCGCTAACAGCACTTGTCCCTACAGTCTGTTAAGGCTATATGGGGGATCTTTGTGTGTGAACGCCACGTAATGCCCTTCGTGTGTGTGTGTGAACAACACGTAATGCCCTTCGTGTGTGTGTGTGAACAACACGTAATGCCCTTCGTGTGTGTGAACAACGCATAATGCCCTTCGTGTGTGTGTGTGAACAACGCATAATGCCCTTCGTGTGTGTGTGTGTACTACACGTAATGCCCTTCGTGTGTGTGTGTGTGTACTACACGTAATGCCCTTCGTGTGTGTGTGTACTACACGTAATGCCCTTCGTGTGTGTGTGTGAACAACGCATAATGCCCTTCGTGTGTGTGTGTACAACACGTAATGCCCTTCGTGTGTGTGTGTGAACAACGCATAATGCCCTTCGTGTGTGTGTGTGTACTACACGTAATGCCCTTCGTGTGTGTGTGAACAACACGTAATGCCCTTCGTGTGTGTGTGTGTACTACGCGTAATGCCCTTCGTGTGCGTGTGAACAACACGTAATGCCCTTCGTGTGTGTGTGTACTACACGTAATGCCCTTCGTGTGTGTGTACTACACGTAATGCCCTTCGTGTGTGTATACTACACGTAATGCCCTTCGTGTGTGTGTGTGTGTGAACAACATGTAATGCCCTTCGTGTGTGTGTGTACTACACGTAATGCCCTTCGTGTGTGTGTGTACTACAGATAATGCCCTTCGTGTTTGTGTGTGTACTACACGTAATGCCCTTCGTGTGTGTGTGTGAACAACACGTAATGCCCTTCGTGTGTGTGTGTGTACTACACGTAATGCCCTTCGTGTGTGTGTGTGTACAACACGTAATGCCATTCGTGTGTGTGTGTGTACAACACGTAATGCCCTTCGTGTGTGTGTGTGTACAACACGTAATGCCCTTCGTGTGTGTGTGTGTACAACACGTAATGCCCTTCGTGTGTGTGTACAACGCGTAATGCCCTGCTCGACTGCCCTTGTACCATAGTTGAAATGCCCTGACCTGCCCTTCAACAACCCTTAATCACACGCAATGCCCTGACCTGCTGCCCTGCAGAGTACATGAATGATATTTACTGCCCTGCAATGTGGATTACAGTCACGCTCTGCTGCCCTTCGCTGCCCTTGTATATTATGCCCGGGCATGCCCTCCGTGGACTGCCAATCTGCCCATCACACATGCGAAACGTATGCCATGTCCTGAACTGCCCTTTAAGGGTTATAGTTGACTGCCCTGCCTGCCCTGCCCTTGTATAAAGCATCACACCCTGACCTGCCCTCGAATGCCCTTTGATGATATTCATACTTGGCTCCAGAATGCATGCCGGTTGTGACGTGTAATGCCCTGCGCTGCCCTACGTGACGTGTAATGCCCTGAGCTGCCCTACGTGACGTGTAATGCCCTGCGCTGCCCTACGTGACGTGTAATGCCCTGCGCTGCCCTACGTGATGTGTAATGCCCTGCACTGCCCTACGTGACATGTAATGCCCTGCGCTGCCCTACGGGATGTGTAATGCCCTGCACTGCCCTACGTGACGTGTAATGCCCTGCGCTGCCCTACGGGATGTGTAATGCCCTGCGCTGCCCTGTGTGATGTGTAATCCCCTGCGCTGCCCTACGTGACGTGTAATGCCCTGCGCTGCCCTACGTGACGTGTAATGCCCTGAGCTGCCCTACGTGACGTGTAATGCCCTGGTGGCCAACTGCAAGAAACGTCTGACCTCTGTGATTGCCAACAAGGGTTTTGCCACCAAGTACTAAGTCATGTTTTGCAGAGGGGTCAAATACTTATTTCCCTCATTAAAATGCAAATCAATTTATAACATTTTTGACATGCGTTTTTCTGGATGTTTTTTGTTGTTATTCTGTTTCTCACTGTTCAAATAAATCTACCATTAAAATGATATACTGATAATTTCTTTGTCAGTGGGCAAACGTACAAAATCAGAAGTGTTAAGTCTATGGGCAGTGTTGAGTCTATGGGCAGTGTTGAGTCCATGGGCAGTGCTGAGTCTATGGGCAGTGTTGAGTCTATGGGCAGTGTTGAGTCTATGGGCAGTGCTGAGTCTATGGGCAGTGTTGAGTCTATGGGCAGTGTTGAGTCTATGGGCAGTGCTGAGTCTATGGGCAGTGCTGAGTCTATGGGCAGTGTTGAGTCTATGGGCAGTGCTGAGTCTATGGGCAGTGTTGAGTCTATGGGCAGTGCTGAGTCTATGGGCAGTGCTGAGTCTATGGGCAGTGCTGAGTCTATGGGCAGTGTTGGGTCTATGGGCAGTGTTGAGTCTATGGGCAGTGTTGAGTCTATGGGCAGTGTTGAGTCTATGGGCAGTGCTGAGTCTATGGGCAGTGCTGAGTCTATGGGCAATGCTGAGTCTATGGGCAGGGCTGAGTCTATGGGCAGTGTTGAGTCTATGGGCAGTGTTGAGTCTATGGGCAGTGTTGAGTCTATGGGCAGTGTTGAGTCTATGGGCAGTGTTGAGTCTATGGGCAGTGCTGAGTCTATGGGCAGTGTTGAGTCTATGGGCAGTGCTGAGTCTATGGGCAGTGCTGAGTCTATGGGCAGTGCTGAGTCTATGGTCTATGGGCAGTGTTGAGTCTATGGGCAGTGTTGAGTCTATGGGCAGTGTTGAGTCTATGGGCAGTGCTGAGTCTATGGGCAGTGTTGAGTCTATGGGCAGTGTTGAGTCTATGGGCAGTGCTGAGTCTATGGGCAGTGCTGAGTCTATGGGCAGTGCTGAGTCTATGGGCAGTGCTGAGTCTATGGGCAGTGCTGAGTCTATGGGCAGTGTTGAGTCTATGGGCAGTGTTGAGTCTATGGGCAGTGCTGAGTCTATGGGCAGTGCTGAGTCTATGGGCAGTGCTGAGTCTATGGGCAGGGCTGAGTCTATGGGCAGTGTTGAGTCTATGGGCAGTGTTGAGTCTATGGGCAGTGTTGAGTCTATGGGCAGTGTTGAGTCTATGGGCAGTGTTGAGTCTATGGGCACTGCTGAGTCTATGGGGAGTGTTGAGTCTATGGGCAGTGTTGAGTCTATGGGCAGTGTTGAGTCTATGGGCAGTGTTGAGTCTATGGGCAGTGTTGAGTCTATGGGCAGTGTTGAGTCTATGGGCAGTGTTGAGTCTATGGGCAGTGTTGAGTCTATGGGCAGTGTTGAGTCTATGGGCAGTGTTGAGTCTATGGGCAGTGTTGAGTCTATGGGCAGTGTTGAGTCTACGGGCAGGTTGAGTCTACGGGCAGTGTTGAGTCTATGGGCAGTGTTGAGTCCATGGGCAGTGCTGAGTCTATGGGCAGTGCTGAGTCTATGGGCAGTGTTGAGTCTATGGGCAGTGTTGAGTCTATGGGCAGTGCTGAGTCTATGGGCAGTGTTGAGTCTATGGGCAGTGTTGAGTCTATGGGCAGTGCTGAGTCTATGGGCAGTGCTGAGTCTATGGGCAGTGTTGAGTCTATGGGCAGTGCTGAGTCTATGGGCAGTGTTGAGTCTATGGGCAGTGCTGAGTCTATGGGCAGTGCTGAGTCTATGGGCAGTGCTGAGTCTATGGGCAGTGTTGAGTCTATGGGCAGTGTTGAGTCTATGGGCAGTGTTGAGTCTATGGGCAGTGTTGAGTCTATGGGCAGTGTTGAGTCCATGGGCAGTGCTGAGTCTATGGGCAGTGCTGAGTCTATGGGCAGTGCTGAGTCTATGGGCTATGGGCAGTGTTGAGTCTATGGGCAGTGTTGAGTCTATGGGCAGTGCTGAGTCTATGGGCAGTGTTGAGTCTATGGGCAGTGCTGAGTCTATGGGCAGTGTTGAGTCTATGGGCAGTGCTGAGTCTATGGGCAGTGCTGAGTCTATGGGCAGTGCTGAGTCTATGGGCAGTGCTGAGTCTATGGGCAGTGTTGAGTCTATGGGCAGTGCTGAGTCTATGGGCAGTGCTGAGTCTATGGGCAGTGTTGAGTCCATGGGCAGTGCTGAGTCTATGGGCAGTGCTGAGTCTATGGGCAGTGCTGAGTCTATGGGCTATGGGCAGTGTTGAGTCTATGGGCAGTGTTGAGTCTATGGGCAGTGCTGAGTCTATGGGCAGTGTTGAGTCTATGGGCAGTGCTGAGTCTATGGGCAGTGTTGAGTCTATGGGCAGTGTTGAGTCTATGGGCAGTGCTGTGTCTATGGGCAGTGCTGAGTCTATGGGCAGTGCTGAGTATGGGCAGTGCTGAGTCTATGGGCAGTGCTGAGTCTATGGGCAGTGCTGAGTCTATGGGCAGTGCTGAGTCTATGGGCAGTGCTGAGTCTATGGGCAGGGCTGAGTGTATGGGCAGTGTTGAGTCTATGGGCAGTGTTGAGTCTATGGGCAGTGTTGAGTCTATGGGCAGTGTTGAGTCTATGGGCAGTGCTGAGTCTATGGGCAGTGCTGAGTCTATGGGCAGTGCTGAGTCTATGGGCAGTGTTGAGTCTATGGGCAGTGCTGAGTCTATGGGCAGTGTTGAGTCTATGGGCAGTGTTGAGTCTATGGGCAGTGCTGAGTCTATGGGCAGTGCTGAGTCTATGGGCAGTGCTGAGTCTATGGGCAGTGCTGAGTCTATGGGCAGTGCTGAGTCTATGGGCAGGGCTGAGTCTATGGGCAGTGTTGAGTCTATGGGCAGTGTTGAGT